GATGACTGTGTGACACAAGGTGATGAAATTAGCAGTGTATCAAAAGCTGTTGTTTTTCGGCTTTCAGATAGTTGTCCAACTGCAAGATTACCACCACTGCTGTCTCTCACTACTAGTTCGGGTTTAGCACTATCATCTGATGATAGGTGGGCTACACGCTGATCAATTACACTGACTGTCTCACAAGTATGCACACCTGGAACTGCATCTGCGTTCAATTCTACTTCACGTTGTAGTTGTACAGAACCTTTATTTAACTTAGCAGTAGTAGGCATATCCCTCATCTCATCATGGTCAACCAAAGACAAATGTGAAGTATCATGATCATTATCACGAATATTCAAATTACCGTCAAGTTCATCATTTTCAAACTCTTTATTAACAGAAGTAGACAATTTTGGTTCCTCCTCACAAATCCTAAAAGGTTTTATATCTTCACTCTGACTAGTTATACTTTGTAAACTTGTGGAGTCAAAACTCCACTCTGAAGCAGTAACTCTATTCTGTGACACTCTATTCAATAACGGCTTACCAGTTGCAACTACAGACTTCTTCACCGCACCGTTATCGTCACACAATTCGGAGTCAGGCCTGGAGTTTACATTTAGCCTATCACTGAACTTGATCACCGGTTCACAGTTCGCTTCTGTATGCACCTCTTGCACACGTGTAAAACAAAACCGTGTTTCACTTGCAGCTTGCAACTTATCTGTTGAGGATGTATTACGAAACCTGTTACACTCACTAGGTCTATATGAATTACTATACATCATGGAGCCTTCTCGATATCCACCTCTCTGAGGCCCTTTCGTCATCAATGAGTGCGTTTTACCCGCAGACCGCTCTATTCTAGGGGTGAGATGTAATAGACTGGAAAACTTGCTCATAGATTCATTGACACTAGTATTTACCAGTTTCAGGATATCATCAAATTTCGGCTCGATACCCTCATCCTCCATACGGGAGCTTATCTTCACCCACTTCCTTTGCAGTCGAGTAGGTAGACGTCTTGCTATTACTTCTAGTATAAAACTCGAGTTGAGGTCACTCATGCGATTCATCGAAATCATTCCATTCTTGTAAATTAGCAAATTATCTAAAAACTCAGTGAGTGCCTGGGAGTCATCCTGTAATTGACCACCATTACCCTTAACAGCGTCGAATAATTTCCCTACAATCATCGAAGCTCTTCCAAACCTTTGACGGAATATGCTCATAGCCTCATCGTGGCCCTCTTTTGGCTTCATAAACTTACAGCACTGTATAGCTCTTGCAGCATCTCCAGTGCAATATCTCATCAAATACATTAACTTCAATTCATCACTTTATAGAAAACTACTCAACATGATCTCAAACTCCTTTACAAATTGTAAATAATCAGCTGGGTTTCCGTCGAAACACCGTGGTCCTAATTTAGGGAGTTTGATGTTCCTATTATCCCTGAACGGCGAAACAGTAACATCAACCATGTCATGCTTAACATCAGACACATCGTTATAAGCAACAAACAAGTCACCATGACTTACTTTCCTGTTTGTATCCAAGACACTCTGCCCCTTCTTTGACCCAGGCATTGTTGAACTTGACCCAATTCCAAAATGGTTCCAGATATTGCTTGTTCAAAGAGGACTTGACCGGCACCAGGAAAGATGAACGGTGACTATCCAAACTTTCACCAACTGTCTGAATCCGCCAGATCTGTTTCAATCGTCAGAAACTGTCAATCACGTCTCGTAAACCGTTAATGCTCAGCTCTCGCTACGCTCAGGCCCACGCTGTTCTTCGAAGATTTCGGAAACGCTTAGTTATGACGGACGCAAAATCCAAAACATCGATCTGCCGCTTGATATTTGTTTATTGTTACACCAACATATAAAAGGAATAAGCGAACTAAGGTCTGAAAACAAATATTACAATAATAAATCATTGTATTACTTCTGACGATGTTTCACTCTTCTTTCTGAACAGCGACCGATGAGACGATGACTGTCGTATTGATGCCTCCGCGAAAATAAACGGAAGTTGGTTTTGAGCAAACAACCATGAATTGATCGTTCAATCTTCAACTCCATTGACAATGTCCCATTACTTATTTTAGGTTGAGAATCTATTGTCATTTTACTCCTAAATTAATACTGGTGAATAAATAATAAGAGACTGTTATTTTGTCCAATAGACTTACAGCAAAAGACAATAAAGAGCACAGAAAAGAAGGATAAAGTATTTAAGTAAAAGCTTTAGACTTTACCTGTAACTTTCGGGTTATTCGGTTTCACAGCAATCACGTGACAGACCCACAAGTCCTGTATATTTGAAAGAGTGAGGAGGGTGTTGCTACAGAAGTAGCACCTGAAGCTTTGGCAGTAGTTCGAGACAGCGGGAAGTACCACACACAAGCTCGGTGAGGAAGAAATGGTTGAATAAAAATTCGCCGGATAGGAAGATCAGGTTTCCCAAACGAATAATTCACAAAATTGGATATTTCCAGTTAGGGAGGAAAAGCACGTCTTATTCAAGGAGCGCGCGTATAGTTCGTTTCGGTTTGGGTTCCTATTCATTAGAATCACCAGCAAGACATGAGCTGAAGTATTCTGGTCGCGGAACGCTGTCCATTTATTTCATACTGCGACTAAATTCACAGCTCAGAAAAGCTCCTTGCTAAATCTTGAGCTTGGTGCCAGATGCTGTTTTTTTTCAGATGTTCCTGTATGTAGCTGACTAGTAGGTGCAAAAGTTCAAGAATAGCGTCCCAGCAGTGAGAACGCTCAAATGACCTTGAATGCATGCTAGTGGTTGGCTAAAGAAGCTACGATTATTCTAGCGCGAAAATGAATGCTGTTCATCCACTCAGATGCCAATTTCACTCAGATCACATATTCCAATACTGTCTGGATAATGGACTGATAGGAATTACTCGTATATATGGTTGTGGTGCTTCAATGAGCCTGCAAACGTATTCACAGTTCTGTATATTTAGATGTGCCGAGTGTAGGAAACGAACAAGTGTTCGTACCGGCAAGTGACACTCTCAGTTAAGTTTCCTCCAAGAACTTTCTTTGCTAAATCGAAACTTTCCTTGACGAATATACTGTTTCTATGCCATTACTGGATTCTTATCTCATCAAAGAAAAATAACCCGTCTAATGATTTTCATGCTTTTTTTTGCAAATACATGTAAATGTTTGTACAGAAATCCATCATTTTTCTGATTGATCGACTGAAGGTCACTTGTGCGTTCACATCGGCTGGACTTATATGACACGTTGGTAGAAATTTCTCCTGGAATTGCTTTTGTCAATAAGTTTTAATAAAATTGCATAATATGTTATCTGCATTGATGGGAATACTCATTTCATGCCTAGATGTGTTAGTGTCCGAGTCACCTGATCTGACTGCGACACAGTCATAGCATATTGGTAACAATGATAAGTGTTTCAGGTGAACTGTGTCAAAGTAGCTCTATAATGAGCAAGATGGAGTAGTTGGACAGTAATGTCTTATACACAAATAGTTTACTGTATGTAGACAATCCACCATTCGGCATAGTATCATTCAATGAAGACTTCAAGTCCCAGGATATCAATGTAGCTATTTTCGTGTGAAGAAGAGTACATTTTGACGAAAGAATGCTATCAGTACATGGGAATCACCTGTAAATGCTAACATAACCTTCTGTGGAAAAAGAAGTTATCATGCAATGTGTTTTTCACCGTATGTGCACACACATGTGTTTGGACAGGAATTATTGTGAGTTGTAAGGTCATCTCTAAGTGGATTGAATATATATTTGCACTGATTGGTGCAGCTTAATATGGGTTATGTGGATTCAGTGTATAAAAACATCTCAATTTTGTTAATATCATGCCATCGTCTGCTTAGCTGGCTGATAAGCTAACAAATGTAGGTGGCTCTTATGATTATTGCAAGTGCAGTGCAGTGGAGAAGGCAATTACTCGTTTAAATTTCCTTACTGTCTCACTTAATGCACCAATTCAGTGTGCGGTATGATCATACATGTGAATTGCTTTCATTATGAGAACTGAATATAGTAAGCTCTGTTATTATTAATCTATTGTTATACCATTCTGTGGTGATTGACAATTTCTATCTCTGTATTGTTTAAATACTTACTATTGACTGTTGATATGTTTCTCATATGAATTGCATAATAATTCCGCTAAATGCAAATTCCTGAATTCTGCCCTCTCTGTGTTTTGGTTGGATTCGTGTAATTCGGTCATCTGGAAATACTAATATTACGATTACAATAAATTACTACAAATTGGCGTCGCGATGGAACTAAATATCCTGGGAAATTTACCTATAAATGCCACTCCGCGGGAGATTGCTGATTATTTGGAATGCTTCGATGCGTAGTGCATTTCCAAGAATGTTCGGGATGACAAAATACCAGCATACTTCATCACTGCTATTGGGCTAGATGCGTATAGCCTAGTAAAGACTCTGTCATTTCCACAAAAACCAATTTCTCTACCATATGCTAAGCTCCGTGAACTTCTTATAGATCACTTTCATATAACTACTTTTGAGACCAGAGAGAGGGCTCACTTCAACAAACTGGTTCGTGCTCCCAACCAGAAGATTCGAGACTTTATTCTTCAACTTCAAATTCAAGCCTCAAAGTGTAACTTTGGAGATCAGCTGCATACACAACTACGTGATCGTCTAATTGCTGGAATCAATATTCCCAAGTTAGAGAAAGAGTTAATTCAGATTCCTTCTTGTACGTTTCAAACTGCTAAAGATGTATGCATGACATATGAAGATGTCAATAATGAATACTCTGCTCCCACTACGTCAGTATCTGATGTCATGCTTTCTAAAGTCGAAAATACAAGTGGTCATGGAAAGCAATCCAAACTGCCGTCCACAGGTAATAGAATGCAGCGAGAGATCAAAAACATTAAACCGTGTTTATCCTGTGGAAAGTTACATCTACGAAACACTTGCCGTTTTCGGGGTGCTAAGTGTCACAAATGTGGTAAAGTTGGACACATCAAGTCTGTTTGCAGGAGTTCGAATACTTATGTTGCTCAACATTCTTATAATTCTCCCAAGCTGTCTAGTAAAATGGAGTCAATGTGTCTTTCAACTTTTCAAAATACTCAAGCTAATCCAATGAAAACCTCCACTACAAGTTCGGCAACTCAAGTGTCAACTGCTTTCAAAAATGTGGTAGCCGAGTTGCAGTGCGAACTGTCGAAAACACGAAAAAAACTGAATGAGATGAGAGAGCAACTGATTAAAATGGAGGAATTGTTGCATATGCATAGACTACGTCTGTTGAATGCAGAACATACAAGTACCCGTGAAAGTCCTGCAAGACTTTTCAAATCTCGAATTCTCAAAAAGCATCTCATGTCCACGACTTCTAATGCACATTATTACAAAGGTAATAACTATAGACCTTCTGTTGGAATTATACTACAAAAAATGGGAAATCGAGTGGTGAATATATTAGACATCAAAGATCACTCAGTTCATAACGGACACCTGGACAAAGTGACAATAAATGAAGTAGGTCGTTCCAATCATAATATTATTGATTCCGCTAATAATCCTGATTTTGTAGATAATTCAGAAATAGGTCCAGATAACACTGATGAAAATAGTATCACAGAATCAGTTAGGTCGCAGATACTTTCAAGCAAACCGACACATCGTTATAAGTACGCAAGGAGACATTCGACGTGTGGCGGATGTGGTGATTGACAAATTCTATCTCTGTATTGTTTAAATACTTACTATTGACTGTTGATATGTTTCTCATATGAATTGCATAATAATTCCGCTAAATGCAAATTCCTGAATTCTGCCCTCTCTGTGTTTTGGTTGGATTCGCGTAATTCGGTCATCTCGAAATACTAATATTACGATTACAATAAATTTCTACACATTCCCACTGACACTGTATACATAATGCTGCAATATTTTTGATCACCTATAGTGTAGGTGAATTCCACCTAAAATTCACGTTTATATGAAGCAGCACAATCGCAGCATCGCCAATGAATATCAGGGTTGCATTATATGACATCACTATCGTCATCAACAAGACAGGTCTGTGTATCTTACAATATTTTAAGCATTTCTCCATTCTGTTAACACTCTGCATAACTGTTTAGAGTTGGGAGCTATGTACCTTATATTTGATGGTTATAGTTTCCGAAATATGAAAGTGTAATCTCTGTAGGATTCACAAAACCATGTTTACTAGACATCACTGAGATCGTGGATTAATTTCTAAGTTGCACATTTGCAGTACTTCCTATAATGTAAACGTATTTATTGTGGAGTTAATCTGCAGGTAAACTTGATGAGAGAATGACGCCTCGACAGTATGGATATTTCAGAAATTGTCTTGAAATTTGTGCATGATCCGCTAATACCGGAAAACATTTAACGTATATTTATGCACACGGCGTCAACATGATAATCAGCTGTGGACCACAAATACTTTTTTGCATGGGAATTTTACTTGGTATTAGATCGAATCAGTGTATTCACATTGTATACTAATATGACGACACTTTATCCTGCTTGACCTGTTCTTCTTGCTTTAATCGCGATAGTAGAGTGTTTCACAGAACTCATCACAGCGTATCAGCCTTAAATGTATATCACATGCAGGCATAATTTGTATGAGCTAAGCATGCAAATGAAAGTAAACGTTTGTACGGTAAATTCATTATTTATAAGACTAATTACTATGTAAGAACTACGATTTGACCAGTTATACAACGTTAAATATATTTAGACGCAGTATACATACTGTGCTTACTTCTACGACGTAGTACCTAAAGCCACCTCAAAATAGTTCCCGCTGAAGGTAACCTCCTGTAGCTACTACCTTAGTGAGCAACCCAACGTTATCTTTGAATTACAAAGTAAGGGTGGAAATTCTGAGAACTTTCCGGGTAAAAGGATCGTCTCCTAGTCGAAAAAAAGATACATCCTAACCTTCACAAAATCGTTTAGAGGTATTTATCCTAATTCCTCGAATGACTCACCCTTTTTGCAGTCACCTAGGAAGTAAAGATAAATTTACCGAAGACAGTGTGCTTACGATTTCTAGAAGTTGTAATGCACCATAGGGTTATAACAGTTGGACGCGCGATATAAATCCGAAACACGACTAGGATTCTCAATCACAGAACATTCTACTTTGATATCTAATCTTCTAATCCCATCGACAGATGTCTCGTCAAGAGAAAGAAGACAAATGGTTCAAAGAAAATTTATTTTAAGTTTTATTAAAAATCATGGACATCCGTATATGTAGTCACGCGGAAATCACGAACGTCCAAAAGATGAGAATTCGACTATTTGAACTGAAACAAGCAATTTGTATTCAGCCAGTGTTTCCTTCCCGATTAATAATCAGCTTCTTAGCTTGTTGTAACTTCGAAAAAATCACCAATTGTAGACCATAACCCGAAATGTCACTGTGGCTAATCAAAGTCTTACATCTAACTGAGATAGTTCGTACACTCACCAGATCATCGTATGTTATCTGCTTTTTAAATCGTTTTGTAACATATTGAATGGCTGTTAACATTGGCTTTACTACAGGTAGTCCTAGTTCATGTATTTAGGTCTAGCACATTGAGCACTAACAAACATAGGTAACAACATCCTTTAGAGGTTTCTGATTGCTTTCCAGTGTCTTTTTGTTCCAAACCATACATACAGGCACAACAGATTCACACTTCTCATGCGGCTCAACCTTATCTAATTTACATTCTGTCGCTATATATCTGATTTTATAGCTGACAACAGACACCTGGTCGAAAAGCTTCAAAGCTTTTTCAACTTCAACCAAGGTTCTAAATTCTCAGGATCATTATGTTCTTCGAAAACGTTTCTCATATCAACCCCGATCGTACCCTCCTCACCAGATTGACTCGTAGATTGCTGCATGCTATAAACGTGCATATTAGAAACATTGATCTTCCAGGTTTCTAAGTATAAGGTAATCGATTGAGCCAGCAACAATAACGGCAACCAACGAGTGAACTGAAAACAATTGATTCTGTCAGCCACGTCTCGTGAACCGTTAATGCCCAGCTCTTGCTACGCTGGGCCTCACGCTGTTCCTTGAAGCTTCTCAGAAACGCTTAGTACGAGTGGACGCGAAAACCAGAACACAGTTTGGCGACTCGAGAATTCTTTATTGTAACACCAACATATAGCCAACTTTACAACTAAGGTCTATTAACAAATGTTACAATAGTAAATCACAATATTACTCCTGACGGTTTTGTCCTGACTTCTTTCTGAACAGCGACCGATGACTGGCTGATTGATGCCTCCGCGAAAATTGGGGAAATTGGTTTTCAGCAAACAACCATGAACTGATCGTTCAATCTTCAACTACAATGACAGCTTCTGATACCCAAACATGTCCATGTGCACAATTTCCAGAACTTCCACACAAAACTAATTCAATAATACCTGAAAAACAACTAAAACACTGAAATCAAGCATGAATGAAAGGTACGAAGCAATTACAATGAAATGAATGCACCGACTTGTTGAAAACATTTTTCGAAACCAACGAAATAACTAATTTTCACAGCAACGGAAACAAAAGTGGGGTGAAACGCAGCATTTGTGAACAGCGCGCATCAAGATGAGCTGTGGATTACTCTTAACTACAGCATCTAATAAATAAATAAATGACCTTGGCGGACCAGGAACCTCCATATAAAACGGCGCAAAATTTTAGTGCAGCATTCATATAAATGTAATGCAGTGTTAAACGGTAGGGCTGAATTGTCCATCACATCTAAGGTCATTGGTGGATTGAGACGCATGAAGGTGATTTCCGTCCATGTTGGTCGGCCATGTTGATTCAGATTGAAATCTTTTGGTTGAGGATAGAAGGCTTGGAGCCTATATTAATCCTTTTCTATTAAATTTCTCTGGTTGTCAAAAACCTTCATGAAAAAATCAGTGGAGGATGCAGACACCGCTTCTTCTGGGAGTCGGTTCCAAGAGTTGATGACTCGGTGTGAGAACCAGTACTCAACAGCATTGTGATTTCTTCTTGGCTTTTGAACTCTTCTGCTGTGTTCTCTAAGGTGTTCCGAACTGGTGGGAAGGAAAACAGCTAACAGTTCAGGTTCGTAGTCATTATGTAAAATTTTAAATGTTGTGATTAAATCTCTCTCTGCCTATGGTATGACAGAGAGAAGAGATTTAAACTGTCTAGTCTTTCCTCGTGTGATAAGTTAGCCATGCCGAGAACCGTACGTGTTGCCTTCCTTTGAACCCTTTCTAGAATGTGTGAGTCCCCTTTTAGGCAAGGACTGGTAGCCTGGATACAGTTTTGCAGTCTTGACCTCACCAGAGGTGTGTATAAGGAGGTGAACATATCTCTGTTGGTTCTAGTAAAGGCTCTGCAAATTGCCCCTAAGGACCTGAAACTACGTGCAGCCACCGCGCGACAGTGTGCTGTAGTTTTTAAGTCGTGGCTAACTATGACACCGGAGTCCAAGTGAGTCTGAACTGATGGAAGTGTTATTCCCTCCAGTTCGTAGGAGCTGACGCTTGATTGTCCGATGTACATGGTTGCACATTTTACTACGTTGATAGGGAGCATGCATTCTATCGACCACTGACAGTTCGTTGAGGTCCTGTTGCAGCTTGGACGTATCACTGTTGCCCTTCAGCTCTCTCTAAATTTTTAAGTCATCTGCGTATAGGACCATAGGGGAGTCTGTGTGCAGAGATAACTCATTGATATACAAAATAAACAGGAGCGGTCCGAGTACCGTGCCTTGTGGCACTCCGCTACTTACTGCTGTCCGAGAGGAGAGTTCCGAGTTGATCCTAACCCTCTGCCTCCTATCTATGAGGAATTCCCTGAGCCAGTCTAGTAATCTGCCCTTGATACCAAGACTTTCCAATTTCATGAGTAGTCTTTTGTGAGGTACTTTATCAAAGGCTTTGCTGAAGTCCATGAAGACGATGTCACAGGGTCTTCTGTTGTCCATTGATTTGACCCAGCTTTCTCTTACAGTGAGAAGATTTGACAGGCATGAGAGGTTTCTTCGGAAGCCATGCTGTGCTCTGGATAACAAGCTGCTGTTTTCCAGATATGCCGTGATGCTTTACTTGATGATTCTTTCCAGTGTCTTGATTAAAGTGCTGGTGAGATTCATAGGTCTGTAATTTGAAGGGCTTTGTCTTGATCCTCCTTTGTGGGTAGGAGTTACTATGGCGTCTTTCCAGTCACGTGGTAACACTCCATTTAGGAGAGAGCTTGGTGGTCGTGGAGAAAGGGCCGGCTATGTGAGCTGAAAGCTCCCCGAGAAGCCTAGGTTAAAGATTATCAGGACGGATTGATTTCCCTGCACCTAGTTTCGTTAGGCAGTTGAGCACGATTCCTTGGTGATAGGATCCCACGTATTTTGGTATTGACTGTTAATCTTGTATATATGGTATATCATCATTCTCACACATTTTGGTATTGACTGTTAATCTTGTATATATGGTATATTATCATTCTCACACATTTTGGTATTGACTGTTAATCTTGTATATATGGTATATTATCATTCCCACACATTTTGTTATTGACTGTCAATCTCGCACATATGGTATATTATCATCTCTCACGCACTTTGTTATTGGATATTAAGATCAATTATTTCAAATGCTGTTAGCTGTCCACATTATTGTAAAATGTATAAATACCATGGCTTTCTTTGTCGTTGTTGCACTTCAGTACACAGT